AGCTTTTTTCCAGTGCTCTATAGCCACATTGCTGCTGGAATGGCTCTGGATGGTTACTGATGGCCTCAGCCCAGAAAGAATGTTGGATTTCACCCAAAAGAAGGTCAGTGCAATGCCATAGGAGCAGTGCAGAGGACTGAGGTCAATGAAGAACAGGTTCTCTCATCACGTGGGAAGAAGCCTTACGATCACTAATGCTATAGAAAACAATCCTGGGCTTCTAAACCCAAATATGTTGCTCGTGGAGAGGGCAATCTGTGAAGCACTGATGTAGTCTTTCTGTCCTGTATCTGCAGAGCAATTTCATAGGACACTGCCTGGGAAGATCAAGCCTAGAGTCAGTCCCCGTCCTCCTCCTGCCCTGTCTCCCTTGCAGGAAGATGCCCTCATCCTCCTAGCCCTCGTCCTTGAGTGGCAGAGAAACCTATCCGGTCATGTCCTCATAGAAACTGGATTTCCCATGGAAATGCTTACATTTACCCATTTAAGCCAACAATTTCTAAATATTTATACCTCTATTCTAGAATGCTCTGTGCCTATGAACATTCCTGTGAATTAAGTCACAGTATTTCAAATACTACAAAAAAATCTATGTAAAGCTGTTAAGAGAAAGGCAATAACATCAGCCACTTTATAACCATGCACGTATGTTCACTTCATTGCCTCTGCGGCATTTTTCTTACTTTAGAATTAGCATGGTAAGGGAACAAGCCAGATGGAAATAGGAAAAGAAAACCCATCTCCAAATTTAGGGTACCCCCTGATTTCTGGTCCCTCAGCAAGAAGAACTGATCCTCTGCTCCTTTGTAAAGAAACCAGAAAGTAAAATAAAGTTGCACTTACTAAATGTTTCATTGGCCTCAGCAACTACAACGGACCATGATTTTAGAACTATGTGATGTATATTGAGGAATGTATCATCATTTGTGTGCCATCCCTTATAAGAGATACATGTTTGGAATGTCCAAATTGCAGTGAAATAAAGGTCAGGGACCAAAGGCACACAGCAAAACTGTTAGCTCATCAATGCTTTTAATTTCCTATGTGCACTTAATGTCATGTCTTGGTATTTTAATGGGGGAAAGAAATCCACTCTCAAAACAAGTTTTCAGTATTGATAGCACTGCAGGCATGGCTTTGTTGAGCTGGCTTCTGCCTGGGAATATTCAGTGCCCTTTTAAGAATTAATTGGATGGATTTTTTCCACTCATACCTTAGCAGCCTTGGGATCAATGGAATCACAAAGGTGAAAGGCAAAACTTCAAGATAATACAGAATTTTTCAGTACTTTTATTGTCAGCTAAGGCATACTGGCCACTAAGCTCTTGTTCCAAAATTCATAGTGTATGGGTTTGCTGAGTAGCAAGTGAAGAATACTGATTTCCTTACTTATCTATGATCATCTGCACTGCAAGTTGCAGTGGAAAGAGTGCAGGATGGGATTTAGTATCCAAAATTACCTGCTTTCTTTTGAAAAATGTAGATAGCCTCTCACACTACCCTTCCTACAGCTACTCCAGGTGGGACTGAATGTTGATTTGTAGGATCACATGAAGGCTGAAGCATAATCCTGTTATGCTTGGGGGAAAATCTTGAGCTCAGTATAAATAAGAAAGAGATGAAAGTTCATCCAAGCATAGCAAAGAAACCTTTTCCCACTCCCCATGGGCCAAAATCCTCTCCCAGTAGGTCTGGGGACAAGGCTTGGCACTCTCCTCCCTATTTGATTTCTCTGTTTAATTTAATAGTGTTCTCTACTCATCTCTCTGTGCATATTTTTATGCTCTTTTCTGCTGCATGACTTGCTGTCTTCTCAATGATGACGAATTTACCAGCCCAGGCACTCAGTGGTGAGACATACCCCATAATACCAGTGGTTTGGCATCAACCACCACTGTCCCTTTATCCTATGCTCCTTTTTTCCTGACCAATTCTGCCATTTTTGAACACCAGATCCCACAGATTCTGAGCAGGAGGTCCACGAGCGGTGTGAAAATTGCCATCCACTCAGAAAACTGGGCATTTACTCTTTACCAGTGCTAAGGATAACTCTGTCTGAGGACATACCGACAAGGCCCAAGGTAGTGCAGTTGACCAGAGACAGCTTACATGCAGTGTTTTTCCTTGCCCGTAAAATCATAACCTCATGGCACCAGATCCACCAGGTTCATCTGACAGCCCTCCCCAAAGCACGTTCCCTTTCCAATAGTACACTTTTTTTTACAAATCGCAGAGAAACATCCTATTGAAAACTTCCTGAAATCCTGACATTGACCCCAAACCACTCTGCCCTCAGCCCTGTGCTCCTTCACTCTTTTTGGTGAGTTCAGATTCCTCTAAGAACATGGAGTGTTCCAAGAATCTAACTAAGCTCTGACAAATCCTTCACTGGGACAGATGTGCTTTCTAGTAATAATAGTAATTATCCCTAAAATCCCATGAAAGTTTGATTGCAGTTTACTAGGAATAAGTAGAAATAAAAGAGGAGCCATTTCAGTGCATAAAGCCAGGCTGCTGCTGTGCTCAGAGAGCCAGTTCTCTTCTGCATAGATCTTATCAAAGCTCCCAACGTGATTGCTATATATTTACATGATATAGGAAAGGAGGACTTCAGGTGTATGAGTACAAGGCAGCCTTAGAAAACTAGGGCAATAGTAACGAGTCACTACTAAATAGCTCACTGCTATTTAGATTTGACTTAAATAGAGAAATGGCCACTGTACACAGCGGCACTCCTGACAGTGTGTCCACAAGTCACCCCTAGATCAAGCTACCGAGCCCAGCACTGCTACATGTCCTCCTCCCACATGGACACATGCCCACAAATGCAGTCCCACACCTCCACCCTCTCATCGACCAGCACGCAATGGGTAAATGCAGAAAATAGGGGCTACCAAGCACAGTGCAAAAACAATCTAAAACCTAATACTCATAAAAAATATGTACAAAGCTTTCTTTGATTCAAATAAAGCATAGGAGTCTTTGAAGAAGCTGTAGGTGTGACATGACAGTACTTTCCAAGTAGATAAAGTGAAATCTCAGCACAGAGTTTGTACCAACATGGCTATTAAGGCTCCAGACTAGCAAAAATATGTGTCGAATAAAGTCAAACTTTGCTGTCTTTCTATGCTTATTTGTTTTGTTTTCAAATTCTTCCTCATTCCCACTTTGTTAGGATTTAAAAGCAAGGTAAGCTCATAACCCTGTGTTCCTGTAAGCCGTCCAGCACAGAAAGGGTTCTCCATGATGCCACGCCACACACAGAGCAGGCAGCCCATGCTACCCCTCTCACTGTCATGTCACTTGAGGAATATCCCATACCTTGCATCCCAAGCCTGGTCTTCTTGGACTTTTTACCTTCATACGACCTGCTTTTTGCTTACTGTATTCCCTTCAAACTGCCCTATCAACTGCCCCAGGGAACATCAGACCAAGTGTTTTACGCCCACAAAGAGGAATAAGAGAAGGAAATATCATTTCAATTAAATAAATGGATAAGTAACGAAAGCAATTGACAAGAACAACAAAAACAAATGTATCCATTGAGTAGGCATGTTTTAGATCTAGAGTAGAACATCCTACATTCTAACCCAAGTCACTTCAAAATCAGTGAAACATTATTCATTGTTAAGCATTGTACCCAAAACTTGTGTTTCTTGGCTCAGTTCTGCTGCCCTAAAGTCAATGGTAAACTTTCCATTCAGCTCTGGTAGGAAAAGTGTTGGGTCACAGTGACTTCTGTAAACAGTTCCTCTCACAGATGATAAAATGAAGAGCTGAAACCTTGCTGTGTGAGTTTTGTAGATGTCTGAAAAACATAATCACTGTTTACAGTTTCCTGCAATTGGTGGCAGGAGGAAAATAAATACAAGACCGAGTAATGACATTCTGCTTTGCTGTTCTGCCACTTGGACTCATTCCAGCCCCCAAGGAAGGGAGAAAGCAGAAAATGAGGGCTCCAGAGCAGAGCCCTGCAGAGCCCATAGCTCACTTCTGCTTCAAAATTTGCCTCCGTTTGTTTTGTGAGATTTCCACCCACTCCCCAATTATTTCTCATTTTATTCACAGCTGCTCGCCATTCTGGTAATTCCTTCTGTGAGGAGAAAAACAAAGGATGTGAATTATAAAAATGCCTTGACTCTGTGTCCGAATTCATCCACATGGATCGCCCTTTGGCACTGCTGCACGGCTTAGCAACCCTCTACAAGGAAACTCAGCGGTGTCAGAGTAGTGGATAATAAAGGGAGATATCCCCATTCCTGTGAAAGCATGAAATAAGCATCTATGTTGAGTTTGGAGCTGCACTCAGCTCTGCAGCAGACAGGCCAAGATAAGGCAAGTAGAGCATCTCTGGAATTGGAATTTATCACAGATAAACCTGAGATTTTCTGCACAAAAATAAACTTCAGTGCACTGAGTTGTTTTTTTCTTCGTTGTTTTTGTAAATCATCTGCAATGTGATAGAACAAGGGGGAATGGTTTTAAACTGAGACAAGGGAGGTTTAGGTTAGATAGATATTAGGAGGAAGTTTTTCACACAGGGTGGTGATGCATTGGAACAGGTTGCCCAAGGAGACTGTGGATGCCCCATCCCTGGAGGCATTCAAGGCCAGGCTGGATGTGGCTCTGGGCAGCCTGGTCTGCTGGCTGGCGACCTGCACACAGCAGGGAGTTGGAACTGGATGAGCATTGTGGTCCTTTTCAACCCAGGCCATTGCATGATTCTATAATTCTATGCAACTCAAATGTAGAACAAGTTGGAATAAGTCGCTTTTGATAAATGATTATCATAGAATCACAGAATTCTTTGAGTTGAAAGGGACCTTTAAAGGTCATCTAGTCCAACTTCTCTGCAGTGAACAGGGACATCTATAGCTTGAATGGGTGCTCAGAGCCCCAACCAGCCTGACCTTGTATATCCATCCAACATTTGCCATTTACCCACCTGGCTGTGATGACCATGCTGATAGTCCCTTTCAAAGTGGCTTAAATCAGCAGATGGCAAAGCACCACACAGTCTTCCACTCACTCCTCCCCCTTTCCAGTGAAATGGAAATGGGAGAGAGAACCAGAAAGAAAAAAGTAAAACTTGTGGATTGAGATAAAACTATTTACTAAGATAGAGAAAAGGAAAATGATAATAGTTATGACTGTGCATGCATACACCAACCTCTGACTGATGCCCAGCTAATCCCCCAGGCAAAAGAAGAGAGAGAGAGATGAACTCCCAACCCCTTCAAAACTCCTTCCACATGATGTCATTTGGCTTGGAATATCCTTTCAGACAGTTTAAGTCAGCTGTCCTAATTCTGTTCCCTCCCAGCTCATTGGGCCCTTAGCTGAGAGTGGCCTTGGTCCTTTTGTTGCAGTTGCTCAGCCAGCACCTTTCAGCCCACAGCTGCAGCACAGCATGGATGATTGGATCCTTTATTTAAAGAAAGGGAAGAAAAGTCCCATATTCACAATGGTGAATCCTGCCTGTGTCCCCCTTACTTTCCACCTAGCATGGCTGACCACTTTGCAAACTGGTGACATCACAGAGGGCAAAATTTACTTGCAGGAAAGGCACTTTGATCAGCACAGCACATCCTCAAATGAAAAAGCGCCGCTATCATATATCTGCCTCCTGGTTTTATCAGTGCCTGCAGCACCAAGCCAAAGTGAAGTATTAGGAGGTAAATCACCTCCATGCATTTCTCACAGGCACTTAGGAAGAGAAAGCAATTTTAGGGAGGATCTCACAGAGTTCCTCAGTGAGGAAGTTCCATCATCTCACCCTGTGCTCTCTCTCTGTCCAACAGTATTAAACTAAATAAGCAACAGACAGGGAGAGAAAACCAGAGAGAAGTGGTACTTTCAAATGGCAGAGGAGCACAGTTCTCTGCCTTAGCCCTGCAGTTCGTGACACATTCATTATCTCTATAGCAATGCAGTTGATGCCCCTGCTGAGATAACAGCACAACTCATCTTCTCTGCTGGTCACTGGGCTTTCTGAAGGCAATTCCACAGAGTTCAGCATCTTCCACGCTTTGAAGAAACAGACAGCTGCCAAAGCTCTCATACTTAGCACCTGGGAACACAGGTGGTGATGGATCAGTGGTTGGACTAGATTATCTTAGTGGTTCTTTTCCAACCTTAATTGTTCTATGATTCCCTGATTGTCTTTGGGTTTTTGTTGTTACACAACCTCTGATATCTTCCCAGCAGCCTATATTTTGTCAACACTTGAAGGATCACAGAATTTGCTCATTTCTCCAGTGAGTTTCCAGAGACAGATTTGAAAGTGTAAAGAAGTTCCTGGCAAGCTGGGATGAAGGAGAAAATAAAGCTTTTTTTTTTGCTTTTTTTTTTTTTGAGGCTGAGCTGCTGAATCATGCAGAACAGGCAGCAGCCCACAGAGCAGGAGCTGCAGGAAGATCCAAACATCCCCTGGAGCATTGGGCTGCTACCTTCAATATCTGTGTGCCATGAAGTGGCCTGAAATACCTCAGTCGTGGGGAAACAGAGCAGCGTGCACACCACCTGTGCCCAACACCTTATGGAGAGGCACTGGAAAACCACACAAAACTGTTCCAAAATGAAGGGCTGTCCAAAACTAGCACAATTTTCAAGTACAACTTGGAATGCCAGGGAGATAGCAATCAGCTCTCCTTGTCTCTGGCAGAGCAAGAAGCTGGCAAAAGCAATGCTCCAGGGCAATGCATCCTGAAGGGGAACCTCTGCCTTTAGAAGCCTTTGGAGATGGATGCCAGGAATTCATAAGCATTTTCACTGCAGTGGGAAAGATGCATATTCTTGAAATTCCTTCAAGCCCTATGACCCACGTCTGTACATGGCACATGCAGCCCCTACATTAAATACCTCTGTGCCTGTATTCTTTCAGAGAGGGATCACTGTTCCCCATGGCAGAAGGTCTTTGAGGACACAAAATTAAGACCACTTTCAAAGGACTGTACATAGTAAACATCAATCACTGGGATGGGGCAGACTTCAGGGATACAGAGTGCCCTGATTATGCAGCAGAAGAGAGAGTCCCAAGGGACCTCAGAAACATGAGACACTGAAGTGAGTGGGGTGGAATAGGGCCTGGCAATAACTGCCATGCACGGAAGGACAGTGGATGAGAAATAACATCAGTTCTCTATTCAGATCAGAAGAAGTTTGAATGGTGGAGAGTAAAGGAAAGCTTTTGAAAACATATTACCTTGCATAAATTGCACAAGGTTGCCATTGGCTTGGAGGTAGCAGAGGCTAAGAGCTGACAGTTTCATCATGGAAATTGTTTAGGAAATGACCAAGGGAACACATTTCATTGTTCAAATGTCAAACTGCTTGTGTCTAGAGAGGAGTGTGTATTTATCAACTGCAATAATACACATTCCACAAAGGAGAAGAGCAGAGAAACCAAAAATTTTATCATAGATCTGTTGTGACTCAGACATCTCTGGTGCTCAGGCAGAAGAAACTACACAGGAGAGGAAGATTCATATAACATTTCCTAGAACAGAGGAGTGATGGGCAAATGCTAAGCAGGATATAAGCCCTGACAGAAGAGAAAACAATGCTTTTCCCAACTGTTAGGTGAAAAAGCAAAAACAACGTGCATGATCTCAGTGCAGCAATAATCAAGAGATACAGCCAGAGTAACAGACAGCAACTGAACTGGGACAGCCACGATTAGACAGCAGAATTCAATCTAAGAGTTCAGAGAAGTACAGCAGGAATAGTTCATGTTGTAGGCAGCCATAGATTAAGATAGATGTGCAAGGAAAAAATCCTATGGAACACAATTTTTCTTCTAAAAGAAAAACTACAGATTTGTAGGTAGGAAATGAACACATCTGGGGAGACAGAAGGAAGATATGCAGTTCATCAAGAATAAAAATGTGTTGCAATATATCCAGAGAAAAGAGGAAAGGGAGCAGTCTGACTATATTGTTTCTATTTTATCAGGATTGGATCCAGTTCTGATGAGGTGACCATGGGAAAATCACCCATCCAGAGTGACCAAGCCGCCTCCAGCTGTTTCCTGTCGTGTTTCCTCATAGATTCAATGCAGAAGCGGATTCTGATATGCACTTCATAAAGGCAATTCCCAGTTGGCAGGTAGAGACTGCAGTCCAAAAAAATCAAACTGGAAATCAAATGCAGGGCTGTTGATGAGTTCTTCACAATCCCCATCCAGTGACTTGACATGGAAAACACTATTCTTCTTACAAGTGGGCTTTCAGGTAGCTCCAGCAATCCACCAGTCAGGAAAGCAAGTGGTGACCCAAGGATGTGGCTGCATTCTCCATCACCTACACTTTTTTTTTTTTTTTTTTTTTTTTAAATTCCCTCCCCCCCCCATCCTCTTGGGAGTAAAACTGCACACAGAGTTTGTTGAAACAATTTCAGTGTAAGAAAAGATTTCTTACTTCTGTTCAAGCTAGAATTCATGTTCCTTAATATTATTTGCTAATATCCTCGTGTTGAGCATAGATAACTTGATTGCATCAAGAATTACTTAAGCTTAAGCACAAAACTAGAGAGCATTGGAGGTCAGGTGCAGGACTTTATGGCTGAGCAGTTTTGTTTTACTTTGGGGTCATCATAGGTGATTAATTGACCTGTTTTACTTCTTCAGATCTGCCACATCCAGACTGCTTTGGATATATGTAATAAAAATCAATAAAATCTCAGAAAGGCAACCTAGGTCAATAATTAGGATGAGAAATTCAGGCTAGCAGCTATGAGTTAACCGTGAAGAACTGCCAAAGCATTTTTTGTGCCACTAGGTGTCTGAGAAACAGAATGGCAGATGAAATTCTGTATAAATAAGCATAAAGAAAAGCAAATAGGAAAATAATTCTGATTTTGCTTAGAGATGGACTGTGAGATATTACCAATTAGATACAAAAGCTTCTGTTTATAATAGGCGGATATGTGCAAACAGAACTGCAACTGGGATGATTGCAGCTTAGCTTTTCTTACAGCTTTTGGATGCTTAGACCTGAATCCAGCTGTTCAGACCTCACACAACATAACACAGATGAGTAATTATCATCTCCTCAAACCTCTCCTGCACTCCATAAGTGCTTTTCTCCTCCCTCTTAAAGTCTATTGGGCCATCTGACAGGGCTACCAGATTGATTATTTTAAAGTTGCTTCCAGGTGGAAGTTACCAGCTTGGGTGTTCCTATGTTAATCAATTCCTGCAAATGCATCTGTCATAGCACATTGCAAGCCACCAATCCCCTTGCTCTTTGCCATTTGCCACGACTCAGTTTTCTGAAGAAGGTTCCTTCACTGGGAAACACTGACAAGGCACTGACAATTCTGTAAGATACACATAGTACAGATACAGATACCATGACACAGAATGGCTTGCTAGACCTGCACAGCTCAACACTGGTCTTGTTTAACCCAGCTACTACAATAACAAGCGCTACCCTTCTCTCAGAAGGCAATTTTTTGTTTGCATCCCCAAAACCAAGCCACATGAAGTTTACAATTCAGCCCATGTGAAAAGACAGTGAGCCTCCCCCTGCTATTTTCAGAAGTTACTTGCATATTCTATGCACTGCTCTGATTACTGATCAGCCTTTTTCACATGCACACAGATATTGTCATCTCTTGGCCGTTAAAACTTCTAGGTCAATGGGGAAAATGTCAATGAGTCAACAAATGAATTTTAATTATGCTTCCCACAGATGAAGAATAGAGGAATATGGCAGGTCCTGAGAAGGAATGAAGATTCAGAGAGGAAAATGACAGCAAAGCATTTGAGATGCATACAGCTTTGTATTTGTGGCCATCCGAGATACAATCAGCTAAGCAGTTCCTTAAATAGGAAGGCATAATGGAATCATAGCATTGTTTGAGTTGGAACAGACCCTGAAAGACCACCCAGTCCAACCCCCCTGCAATGAACAGGGACACCTACAGCTCCACCAGATGCTCAGAGCCCTGTCCAGTCTGACCTTGGGTGTCTCCAGAGATGGGGCATCCACCACCTCTCTGGGCAACCTGTGCAAGTGCTTCACTGCCGTTATCATAAAAAACTGCTTTCTTACCAACTTAATCTAAATGACCCCTCTCTAGTTTGAAACCACTTCCCCCCCACCACAGACCCTGCTAAAGAGTCTGTCCCCTCCTTTCTTACAGCCCCTTTAGATACTGACAGGCTGCTCTCAGGTCTCCCCGGAGCCTTCCCTTTTCCAGGCTGCACAGCCCAGCTCTCTCAGCCTATCCTTGTAGGAGAGGTGTTCCATCCCTGGGGTCATTTTTGCAGCCCTCCTCTGGATGTGCTCCAACAGGACCACGTATTTTAAATTATCAGCTGGTGAAAACTGCTCTATACAGTTACGGGTAGACTGACGATTTGATAACAGGATTCACACTAGAAAATCTCACAAGCATAATTCCCAGAACAAAGCCATCCCAATTGCCTCAACACATGCACCGCTGGGGATTTCTCACAATGGAAGGGATGAGGATTCCCATAGGAACTGTGTTGTATCTGCCACACTGTGGAGCCATTGGTCTTCATGAGAAAGGTTGGATTGACCAAGGCATTTTAATCCAAAAATCAAGTTATAGACTTTATGTTTCCCTTTAAAACAGGCAAGCACAGCTAACATCAATTTCTTAAAGAAACTAGGCATAGAGCAAAGAGTCAAAGCTTATATGAGAATGAATGGTGCAGCAAGAAGGAGCTCTCAGCCTTCCCATCATACTTGCCCTTCCCTGGATATAGAGTGAAAAAAGTCCTGTCTAACTCATGGTGGGAACATGCAGATTCTACCACTTAAATACAGCATTCCAATAAAACAGAAATAATGTTTTCCTGAGGGAAAAAGTGGTGGTGGGGAACAGCCATATATATGCAGTTCCAGGAAACTGTGCACTGGGAATAGCCAAGTTAATAAGAAAGGCCATTTTTAAAGACACCAAAAAATTCCTCTGCTTCTTCTTAAATGGAATTTGATGTGTCCTCAGTCTGTCAGTGTAAGCTAATCCCTCGGCTCATTTGAAAAGAAAATAGTGATATAAATGGATGAAGCTCTCGAGGTAGCTGCTAACAATCAT